CGCAGCCCCGGCCCGGCCCCCGCAGCCCCCCGGCCCCCGCAGCCCCGGCCCGGCCGGTACCGGTGGTAGAAGGCGGCGGCGGCGGGGACGATGGAGAGCTCGTTGGTCCATCTGGAGGTGTAGCCCCAGCGGCGCTGCTCGGGGTCCCAGAAGTGGCTCTGCGTGGGGAAGCCCACGATGCGCTCGGGGAAGCTGCGCCACACCGAGAAGGCAAAGTCCACCTGGCACGGGATGGGCACGGTGTCACCCACCCAGTGCCACCTGCGGGAGGGGACCGCCGCTGCCCCTGGAGGACGCGGGGACATGGGGACAGCCTGTGGTGATCACTGAGCGTCCGAGGGACGCGGGGCCGTGGCCTCACCTCGCTGGTGGAGAGGCTGGTGTCCTCGTCCAGGCTCAGCACCGCGTCCGTCTGGATGGCCCCGAAGGGGAAGAAGCGGTCGCTGAGCTGTGGAGGGAGGAGGGACAGGTTGGTGCCCTGGGGTGGCTGTTGCAGCCCCCTGGCAGTGTCCCTGCTCCCTGGCAGTGTCCCAGATCCCTGCCCCTGTCCCTGTCCCAGCTCCCTGCCCCTGTCCCTGCTCCCTGCCCCTGTCCCTGCTCCCTGTCCCAGCTCCCTGCCCCTGTCCCAGCTCCCTGGCAGTGTCCTGCCCCCCTCACCTTCCTCCTGCCCTGGATGATGGTCAGAGGCACGCTGCTCTGGGGCCATTTCCCGCTCGGGGGTGGTGGCTTCTCGCAGTTCCACAGGACCACGATCTGCAAGGGGAAGGACAGATGTGGCCGGAGGGGTTGGCTGGGTTCTCTGCTCCAGCCCAGCCCATCCCATCCCAAAACCACCTCGTGGCAGTTTGGACCAGGATAAACCCCCAGGTGGTCCCGCCCCCACCCCAAAGGGCTTGGGACACAGCTCTGCCCGCCCAAACGTGACACCACCAGCCACCCCTTCCACCCCTAAACCCACCCATCCCCTCTGCGACCCGCAGGACCAGCCCCACCATCCCCCCGGATCCCCGGGGGCTGCACCGGCACACTCGGGACTCTGCTTCTCCCACCTGGGCGCAGTGCTGGGATCCAGAGACGGCTTGGATGAGCCTGAGGATGGGCTGGGACAGCGACCCCGCTTGCGAGACCGCCCGGATGAAAGCCGTGAACTTCTTGGAGGGGCTGTAGCCTGAAAAAAGGGTGGGAGAGGGAGAGGAAAGGTGTTGGGCACACCCCGAGTTTGCGGGGCTCAGCCGGGGTAGGCAATGTCCTACCTTGCTGCAGGTAGTAGAAGGGAAAATCCCCGAGGTGGGTGGAGAATTCCGGCAGGACCAGGAGCCCCCCGGGCAGCGCGTTCCAGAGGAAGCGGGAGCGGGAGCGGTGCGGAGACAGCCGGTCCTTGATGATCTGCCGGAGGCCCGAGTGATGCTCCCGGCACCCCCGCGGCGACCCCGGCAGCTGGGAATGGGTTGGGGGGGATTCGGGGTGGGGGGCTCACCTCCAGCGTGGTGTGCACGATCTTGTCCACGGAGGAGAAGTAGGCATCCCACAGGAACTGGGTCTGCTGCTGGAAGGCCAGCACGCGCTCGGGGCGGATGCAGCGCACGGCGGAGGGGATCTGTGCCGGGGGGGCAGCGGGGTCCTCACCTCGGCTCCCCCCCTCCAGGATGGGCTCCTCTGTCCCCTCCAACCATCCCACGGGACAGCCCCTGCTGTGGGTGGTGCCACCTCCCCCTGTGGGGCTGCATCTCCTCTCCCTGGAGCAGGATCAGCCCCGGGATTCCCAAGGGTTTGTGCCTGGGAAGATCCTTCCCAGCTCCCCCCCGAGATGAACAGAGCCCCGGGAGTGCAGCAGGGTGGGACCCCCATTCCAGGTTGGCTCAGATCCTTCTGCAGCTGCCCACAGGAGCACTGCCAGGCTCAGCTGCTGGGGGCTCACCCCCAGACTCGGCTGGGGGCTCCACCACCGCTGGCATTGGGATTGGGGTCTGGTGCTGGCAGAATCTGGAGCCGGTACCTGCAGCAGGAGCCTCTCGCTGCCCACGACAGCAGCTTTGCCCCAGTCGATGGCCTCGGCAAAGGGCAGCTCCCAGCCATCACTCAGCAGCACCGGGATGCAGGCGGCCTGTGGAGGGACCCCGCAGGCTGGGACAGAGCCCCCAGACCCCGGTGAGGGGGTCCCCAGTCCCCCTGCCCACCCCGTACCTGCAGAGCCTCGAGGAAGCGGAAGGAGCCCAGGCGCCTGCCCCGGGGCACGATGCAGAAGGTGGAGTTGTGCAGCAGCTCCCGGTAGTCAAACCTGGCGTGGGAGATGGGCTGGGGGTCAGGCATGGCCCCCTCCCCTCCTGTGAGCACCCCGGGAGGTGCTGCTGGCACCGGCCAGGTGTGGAGCCAGCCCAGGGCAGGGTCAGGATCGGTTTGGGCTGATTTTTGCTCTGAACATCCCTGGTTTTGTGGGAGCAGAGACCTCCTGGGTGCTGAAGGGATGGACCCAGGCATCCCTTAAACAGGGGGGGGCTCAGGAAGGGACCCCAGTGCCCTCTGAAAGCACCACCCAGCTCCTCCCAGCCTCCAGCAATGACACCCCACGCAAGGCCACCTCCCGAGCCCCCGAGCCCGAAACTGCAGCGACTCCTGTGCCATGCCCAGACTTGCTGGGCAGGACCAGCCCTGCCTGCCCTGGCAGCGTTCAGGGGGGGGCAGTGGGTGTCTGCAGCGCGGCCCCCCCGGCCGGGCTCGCCCGTGGGGCTCTCAAAGCCCCTTCTGTGCCGTGCTGGGAGAGGCTCGGCCGCTGCCGGGTCCCTGCGGCCGCGCCGGAAAATCCAATATTGACTTTAGGTCGGGACAGACCCCGTCTGTTCCTGCCCGCGGGGAGGGGCAGCCGCTCCCGGAGGGGCTGGGGGTGACTCTCGTGGTCCAGCTGGGTGGTTGGGAGGCCAAAAAGAGCCCTTACAATGTGCTGGTCCCAGGAGGAAGGGTGTCCCCGCGGTGGGGACGCGGCGCTGGTGCCAGGCTGGGAGCTGAGGCTGTGTCCCCTCCGCGGGTGCCCGGAGCTGGCCGGAGCGCTCCGGGATGTGGGAAATCAGCCCCAATGCCAAGGCACAGAGTTTCACAATAAAATCCGCTTCTGGATGATCCTCCCCAGTGTCTCCAAAGGATGCCAAAATCTTTGACCCGTTAACCCTCAAACTCCCGGCCGGGCAGCCGGAGGGGTGGCAGCTCAAACCTCACGAAACCACAGCAGCGACAGCCACATCCCCGGGGCCAGACCGGGCTGCCACATCTCCTGGGGACCCCAGACCCTGCCTTTACCCCCGGCAGCCCCGGGAAGCCTTTCCCGCTGCCGGGGCCGGGTGGGCAGCGGGTCCCGGGGGGGATTTGCCCTCGGCCGCAGCCGGTGCGGCGGGGCTGGCGCCGGCCGGGCTGCGGGGCCGAAGGCTCCCGATGGAAACACTCCGCTCCTGACGCGCTGCGGTTTCCGGGCAATCGCCGTCAGGGCTTCCTTGTTTTGTCAGGAGCCGAGCTCCCCTCGCCAGGCCCCTCCGTGGCTCCGGCCGGGCACGGTGCCACCGGCACCGGCGGCTCCGCAGAGCCGCTCCCAGCCCGCGCCGGCTGCTCCGAGCGCGGGGCAGCGGGGCCGCTCCGCAGCGCTGCCACAAGCCGCCCTTCATCCCAGAACAGAACCGGATTGTTCGGGGCAGCCCCCTCGGGCGTGAGGAGGATGATGGGACCCCCAGCAGGGCCTTCCTCTGCTCCCCGAGGGGGTTCCAGCGTGCTAGCCCCCGACACACCGGGTGAACCGGGGTCTCACTCTGTTCCCTCCCTGCTGGCCTGTCCCCTGTCCGAGTGGCCTGTCCCCTGTCCGGGCAGGAGGGCAGAGCGGGCAGAGCTGGCCCTGGAGGCCACGGCGGTGATTTTGTGCCCGGTGTCCCACAGGGACGAGCAGGGCCGCAGAGGCTCGGGGTCACACAGAGCACGCTGCCTCTGCCACGTGTTCCACATGGATCCCCTGGCCAAAGCCATCCTGGGAGAGGTGTAAATCTCCCTGTGTTTGCAAACAGCATTAGGGGATTACCTGGGTGGGCGGATGAGGGGGAATTCTCATCCCGCTGCCCCTTGGCACGGCGTGGGGCTGACCTTGGGCCCCCTGTCCTGCCAACCCCGCTGTCCTGAGATGCCCCATCCCAAGGAGACTTTGCTACAAGTGCTGACCCTGCTGGGCTGGTGGCACCCTCCAGACAGGGCCATGTGGTGCCTGACCCACCCCAAAGCCCCGGCTAATCCCAGTGCCAGCACCCCAGTTCCACTTTTACCTCCCAGTACCTCCTAAGACGCTTTGAGGATGATGCCCAACGTGGCCTCTCCCCATCTGCTCTCCAGCCGGGTGGCTGGGGGATGTCCCCAGGCAGTGGGATGGGCACCTGCCCATTGTCTGTGGGATGGGCTCCGTGTTTACAGCCCTGAATTCAGCAGCTATGATGGGACCCAAGTAGTTGGATGGGGAGGTGAGGAGCTGGCATGCGTCCCTGCAGAATGGAGCCCCCAAACTCACAGAACTTTGTACCCCCAATTTTTCCACCACTGTGCCCGTCCCACGCTGCTGCCACCGTGTCCATTTCTGATGGGGGAAGCAGGGGGACCCCCACCCACCACCACCAACCCTGGCCCCGCCCCCTCCCCGGATTGCACCGCCCCCGGGCTCCCATTGGCTCTCCGCTCAAATGAGTGGGCGTGACCGGCGGAGCCCCGCCCCGCAGCGCGCGCCCATTGGCCGCGCCCACGTGGGACGGGGGGGGAGATCCCCGGGGGGGCCGGGGCTGAGGGGGCACCGACCCCGTGTCCCCCCGTGTCCCCCCGTGTCCCCCTGTCCCTATGGTCCCCTGTCCCCATGTCGCCCACACTGGGACGCCCACAGACCCGCCAGTTTTGTGGGATTTTCAGTGGAGCCAGTGAGGGGGGGGGGAAGTTTCGGGCTCATCTCCAAGAGAAACGTTTATGTTGGGGGAGAGCAGGAGGGGGGAGAAGAAAAGCGTCATTCATCAGCGTTTGGAAAAAGGGAAATCGTATTAGAGGCGGTGGCAGCGATTGCAGATAAGAGCCGCTCTGGCCAGATTACTCCAACTTTAATACAGAGCTGGAAAGCCCTGAGCAGGCAGCGCCTCGCTCCCCACCGTGCCATGAGACCCTCATGCCCTTCAGGAGAACCCAAAACCTCCCTCTCCAGAGGCCCAGCCGCACGGAGCGTCACGGCAGCGCCCCGCAGAGAGGCCGGGACACTTCTGGGGCGTCCCATCGCCCCGGACCCCCCTTTCCCCCCCATCTCCCACTCACCTTTCATAGTCGACGTTGTCCTTGTCGCAGCGCGTGTCCTTGTGCCTCTCCCAGTCCTTGCCGTGCTTGCAGGTGGTGAGGGAGACGATGTCCTTCCCGTTGTGGATGTGGTGCAGCGCGTTCCGCGTGCCGGAGCCGATGCCCGTCAGGTACCTCTTCCCCTTGAACACCAGCAGGTATTTCTTTTTGGGGGGCACCGAGTCCTGCCGCAGCCACCCCCCGTCCCCGCCGCGCTGCGGGTGCTCCCTGGGGAACAGAGGGATGGAGACGTCGAAGCCGGGCCGGAAGCTGCGGCTGTCGAAGCTGGCTCTGGCCAGGATGGCCTGGCCGGCGTCGAAGCCCAGCTCGCCGGTGTAGCCGGGCCAGGTGCCCGAGTAGAGGTTGAAGATGAGGTGGTTGCGGCCGCCGTTCCAGAGCGGGAAGCCGCGGATTTTCTCGTCCACGTTGCGGACGTACTGGCCCGAGAGGCGGTCGCGGTCCAGCGTGTCGATGCCGAGGATGAAGAGGCACGCTTCCTCGGGCCTCGGCGTGTGGTAGCGGGAGCGCTCGATGGAGCTGAGGATTTTGCTGTAGGTCTCCGAGACCGGCTGGCCCCGCTCCTGGGGGTAGGTGAACACTTTGAAGCCGTTCCTCTCGCACCTGGAGAGGTCGAAGCAGGTTTCCATCCGGCAGCTGCTGCTCCTGGAGACGCTCAGCCGCGCCGCCCGTCGCTCCCGGGGGGACGGCAGGGAAGGGTCCCCATCCCTCTGCAGCTCCTCGGGGTCTGCAAAGCTTTTGAGGAGGGATCGATCCGTCCAGCGGGGCCAGCTCCTCCGGGCTTCTGCTTTCCTCCCGGAAAAGAAAGCGAAACGGCGCAGCTGATCCCCTCCAAGGAAGAAAAGGAGAAGCCAAGAGGCAAGGAAAGTCAGGAAAATGTATTTCTTCCTGGTCTGCATAGGTTCACACGCAGCCCCAGCTCCTCATCGGGCTCAGGTGGGTGCCAGAGTCCGGCCAAGGGGCCGACGTTCCCAGCCCCGAGTGGGTGGTGGGACGGCTCCTGGCCCCAGGCACCGTCCTGTGTCCCTGCAGTCTGTGACAGTCCCCACTTTCTGCCCGCTCTGCCCAGGGCTGTGCTGGTTTCTCGGGACAGTCCCGGTGTCTGGCTGCAGAGCAGAGCCCGGTGCCCCGCTGTCCCAGGCGCTCACTTCTCCGGGCCCCCGAGCCGCGACAATGACATTTCCATCGCTTGACCCAGCTTCAAATCCCTGGAGAAAGGGAGAGGTCGCGTCGCCACCGTCCTGTCGCCGCCAGCCGTGTCACCACAAGTGGCTCCACACATCCCTGCGGCGGGACTCCCCTCCCCAGCTCCCTGGGGAATAAAACCCTGGGAACAAACCCCCGTCCCTCCCCTGCTCCTTCCCCCCCGGTCCCCCCGTTACCTTCGGGGACTCGCGGCCCCGGGTGGGTGCCGGGCCGCCGTGTCCCGGAGCCCCGATCGCCGCCTGCCCGCGGCTCCGGGCTGCATCCCCGGCCGGGGAAGGCGGCGGAGCAGCCGCCGAGCGGCCCCGCCGGGCTCCCGGTGCGCGGCCGGGCGGAGGAGCCGCTGCGGGAGGCTCGGCACAGCCCCGCTCCCGGGGCGCCGGGCGTCCCCCTTGTCACCTTGTCCGTCTGTCCCTGCGCTGGGCTCTCTGTTCCCGTGTCCCCCCGGTGCCTGTCCAAGACCCCGGCTGCTCTGCGCTGTCCTCCTGTCCCTCCTCGGGACTGTTCCCTGTCCGTCTGTCTGTCCCCTCCGGGGCTAACTGTCCGGCCGTCCCCTGCCCCACTCTGAGCTGGCTGTCCCCTGTCCGTCTGTCCTTTCGGGACTGTCTGTCCCCTGACCCCTCCCAGATCTGGCTGTCCCTCGTCCGTCCGTGTGTCTGTCCCGCCCAGGGCTGGCCGTCCCCTGTCCCTCGGGGAGCTGGCTGTGCTCTGTCCGCCGGTCAGTCCCCGCGGGGCTGGCTGTCCCCGTGTCCGTGTCGCTGTCCCCGTGTCCCCGTGTCCCCCTGTCCCTATGGTCCCCTGTCCCCATGTCCCCATGAAGCCCTGTCCCTGTGTCCCCATGGACCCGTGTCCCCCTGTCCGCTTGTTCCCATGGTCCCTTGTCCCCGTGTTCCCCTGTCCCCATGGACCCCTGTCCCTCTGTGTCCCTGGCGCTGTGTCCCTCCTGTCCCCCTGTCCCTGTGTCCCCCTGTGTCCCCCTGTCCCTGTGTCCCTCTGTCCCCGTGTCCCCATGGACCCCTGTCCCTGTGTCCCTGTGTCCCCCTGTGTCGACCTGTCCCTGTGTCCCTCTGTCCCCGTGTCCCCATGGACCCCTGTCCCTGTGTCCCTGTGTCCCCCTGTGTCGACCTGTCCCTGTGTCCCTCTGTCCCCGTGTCCCCATGGACCCCTGTCCCTGTGTCCCTGTGTCCCCCTGTCCCTGTGTCCCCCTGTCCCTGTGTCCCTCTGTCCCCGTGTCCCCATGGACCCCTGTCCCTGTGACCCTGTGTCCCCCTGTCTCTGTGTCCCTCTGTCCCTGTGTCCCCCTGTGTCCCAGGGGACAGAGCTCGGTCCCAGCCTGGCCTGACCCCAGCTCAGACGGTCCCTGTGAGCCCAGTGCGGGGTCCCCGCAGAACCAGGACCCCCGGGGCTCCCCAGCGCACCCCCCGGCCCCGCTGGGCTCACTCTGAAGCAAGAGCAGGACGGCCGAGTTGTCACCGTCACCTCCACCCAGGACCCTCTCCCAGGGTGGCTTTGCCGGGGTGATTTGTGGGTGCCGGGGGGGCTGACCCCGTTCCCGGAGCCGGGCTGGGCTGGGCCTGGCGGCACGGACAGGTCGGGGCTCGTCTCTCCCGCCCCGTCCCGGCATCCGCGGCCGCCGCCCTCGCCGGGCCCCGCCGGCCGGGCAAGCCGGGACCGGAGCGCTGGATGCCGGCCACGGGCGGGACAGCCCGGGCAGCCTCCGCCTGCGGCTGGATCCGCGGCTGAGGGCACGGGCTGCGGTGCCCCTGCCTGCCCCAGCCCCGGGGGACACGGGCTGTGACAATCCCAGGGCTCTGTCCGGCGCCCAGCGCGTGCCTCAGTTTCCCCAGTCACCCAGGGAGCGTGGGGTGGGGCTGTGTGAGGGGGAGCTTGGCACAGACGGTTTTCACCGAACCTTTGGGTATTTATTTGCCAGCCTGGCTGGCTCGGCCCCGCAGGGAATTAATCCCCGGCCGCAGAGGGGATTACTGGGGACCGGGGGCCGCTTGAGCTCCACAAAGAGGATTAAGGACAGGGAACGTGGGGATGGGCAGCGAGAGCCCCGGGGCACCGCTGGCCTCTGGGGGGGACAGGGGGACATCCCCGGGGACAGGGACCCGGCTGGGTACAGACACGGACAGGGCAGCCCTGGGCTCGGGGTGCTGCCCACGGAGGGGCCACGGGGGGACTGGGGTGTGCCCTGAACTGGGGGCACTGGGAGCTGTGGTTCGGTGGTGGTGACACTGGGAGCCGTGTCCTGTCCTGGTGTCACCGGGAGCTGTGATTTTGTGCTGGTGACACTGGGAGCGGTGTCCTGTCCTGGTGGCACTGGGAGATGTGGCTTCGTGCTGGTGACACCGTGTCTTGTACCGGTGTCACTGGGAGCTGTGATTTCCTGCTGGTGACACTGGGAGCCGTGTCCTGTCCTGGTGGCTACTGGGAGCTGTGGTTTTGTGGTGGTGGAACTGGAGCAGTGTCCTGTCCTGGTGTCACTGGGAGCTGTGATTTCGTGCTGGTGACACTGGGAGCCGTGTCCTGTCCTGGTGACACTGGGAGATGTGGCTTCGTGCTGGTGACACCGTGTCTTGTACCGGTGTCACTGGGAGATGTGATTTCCTGCTGGTGACACTGGGAGCAGTGTCCTGTCCTGGTGTCACCGGGAGCTGTGATTTCGTGCTGGTGACACTGGGAGCCGTGTCCTGTCCTGTCCTGGTGGCAGTGGCAGCTGTGATTTCGTGCCGGTGACACCGTGTCCTGTCCTGGTGGCCCCTGGGAGCTGAAGTCCGGGAGCACGGGAGGCACTGGGAGCTGCAGGGCAGAGTTCACTGGGGCGTGCTGGGAGCTGTGACCCGCCGTACTGGTGTGTGCGGGCAGGGGGATACTGGGGGGCACTGGGCAGCGGTCACTGCCGGCTGGGAGGGCACAGAGGGAAACCTGGAGCCGGGAGAGCCCTGGAAGCTCGGGGGGAGCTCTGGGAGCTCCTGGGGAGCACCGGGAGCTGCGGCGGGGAGGGCGCTGGGGTGGAACTGGGAGGCACTGGGAGCTGCGGGGAGCACTGGAACTGTCAGGAGCGCTGGGAGCGGGGGGTCACCGGCAACTGGGGGACAACTGGGAGCTGCGATGGTGGCGGGGGGCGCTGGGGGGAGCGCTGGGAGCTGCAGGGAGGCTCCGGCACTGCGAGGCGCTGGGAGCTGTAGTCGGACTGCGCCTACTGGGAGCTGTAGTCCGGGCTCCCAGCGCTTACTGGGAGCTGTGGTCCCGGGCCGGGGCCGTACTGGGAGCTGTGGTTGGGCACTGCGGGGTGGTCCTGCCGTGGTGGCAGCCCCGCACTGTCCCCTCCGCAGGGGTGTCCCCTCTGCGGCTGCCCGTGGGGAGAGGAACGGGGCGGGGGTCTCATCCCTGAGCAGCCCCGAGGGGGTGGAACTGGGAGGGGGTGGAACTGGGGGGCTCTGAGCAATGGGAGAGGGGTGGGGAAGAGAGGAGGGAGCGGGTTGGGGTCGCTGGGGTGGGGGACAGACACCGACCCCGTGTCTCTGCCCAGGCTGGCTGCGGCAGCATGGGGGGGATGCTGGCGCTGCCCCCGGGGCAGGGACCCCACCAGGTGGGCTGCACGGATGTCATGGTGGGCCACACGCGGCAGGTACGGGGATGGGGACAGCGATGACGATGGGCACAGGGACACGCTTCCCTGCAGAGCAAGGTGGCGCAGGTTTCGGACACTGCCACCACCCTCTGTGCTGTCCCCACTGTGTCCCCCTTCCCTGTCTCCCTTCAGGGGCTTTTCCTCCGCCTCTTCTACCCGTGCCTGCCCCGGGCAGGGGCCACGGAGCCGCTCTGGGTCCCTCGCCCCGAGTACTGCGGGGGCTTGGCCGATGTCACCCTGGGTCGCCGCTGGTGCTCCGCCCTGCTCGGCATGGCCGTCGGTGAGGGGGGACACCCCCAGCCCCACCCTGGGGGCTCCCCGGTCCTTAGGGGGGGTTCAATCCCCCCGTGCCTGGGTGGATGCTGCAGGCGGGGCTGGGGCTGAGCAGGGACCTGTGGCACCCACCGCCCGTGTCCCCCCGCCCCGTTCCTGGGGGTCTCTCGTCCCTGCAGGCTCCTGCAAGGTCCCGGTGAGCTGGAACGGGCCCCTCAAGCCCCGCAGCAGCGGGTACCCCCTGATCATCTTCTCCCACGGCCTGGGAGCCTTTCGGTAAGGTGAGCCCCGAGCAGGGCTGGCACAGGGGTGTGGGGACCCTCCGCGGCCCCACCCAGACCTGCCCCGAGCCCTGTGCTCCCATCTCCCTTCCAGGACCTTGTACTCTTCCATCTGCACAGAGCTGGCGTCCTGGGGCTTCGTGGTGGCAGCGCTGGAGCACAGGTGGGTGCCCAGGTCACCACCAAGTTCGTGCTGAGGCTGGTGGCACGTCGTGCCCCGGGGGGAACTGCAGTGTCCCCTTCCCTCCTGCCCCCACAGGGACCACTCTGCTGCCACCACCTATTTCTGCCCGGCAGAGGCTGGCACGGAGGAGTGGATCCCCTTCCAGCGGGTGCCCCGAGGGCAGAAGGAGTTTTATTTCCGAAACAAGCAGGTACCAGGGCCGGGGGGACCAGGGTGGGCAGAGGGGAGGTTTTCCTGGAATTCCTCCTGCAAGCCAGGCTGGCCCTGCATCCCTGGGGATGCTCTTCCCAATGCTGTATTGCCACGGTGCTGAGCTTTCTCCTCGGAGATGAGAGAAATCCCTTCAGCCTGTTTCTCTGTTTCCTGGAGTCCATCTGTCCTGGCAGGAGCCAGGCTGGGCTTTGCCATGGCCCTGGATAATGTCCCTCACACCCTGGGGAGAGCAGGACTCTGTGCCCAGCCCAGCTCTGCACCAGCTGCTGGGTTTGTTCCCACTGGGATTTTTGTCTCTGTGGGATTATCCCGGACAGCTGCTTGCTGGGGAGCAGGAAGGTTTTCCTGCTGAGCCAAGTTCCCCCCCTCTGTTTGTTTCTGCCTCATTTAAAAGGACAAGAGCAAGTGAAGATTAGTCGTGGAAAAGCTCTCTAGGAACGGAGGTGCTTTTGGCAGCCTTAAATCACCTCCCAGCCTGTTCTTTTTGTGTGTGCTCTGCCTCATGGCACATTGCACAGAAAAGGGAAACAGTTCTGAGCCCATGAGCAGAAATGGTGAGGGAGAAAGAGGGAGAAATAAATGAAAGAGAAATAACTGATAGATAGAAATAGTTGCCAGGCCAGTCTCCATTATGGCATTTTCTGTGTTGCAGGGAGTAGGAGAGAGGTTTTCATGGGAGATTTTTGTCACTTGTCACCTTAAATGTGCACAGACGGCAGCACTGGTGTCCTTAGGGCAGCCGAGGACGTGGCCTCAAAGTGGCTCCGAGTCAGGGCATCCTCTCCATGAATCATTTGGGATTTTAGGAGGGGATTTTAGGATGCTCCTGGGTGGTGTGCCCCTGAGTTGGGTTTTAGGGGGACACCCAGCTTTGCTCCTGGCTTAGGGGCTCTGGGGTCCCTGTGGGGTTTGGAGCAGGGGATGGCTCAGCTGGGAGGCAGCTGGTGAGAAACCCAGGCTGTCCCTCCTCTGTTTCCTCCCAGGAGCAGAGACTTTAGGTCCTCTCCAGCCGTCTGCTGCCAGATTAGCTGAACTAAGAGCAAACACCAAAAAAACCCATCCCAATGAACGCGCTGCATCCCGCGGGAGCCGCAGCGCCGCTTTGGCGTTTGCTGCAGTCAGGGAGAGCCCCGTGGCAGAGAAGCACTGCAGGATCGGGCCGGGGTGGGCACTGGGGGAAGGTGTCACCCACATTTGTGGGCTGGAGCAGCTGGCTTCACCCGGGAAGGGCTGATGGTTCCAGGTTCACCAGAGAGCTCGGGAGTGCGTGCGGGCGCTGCGGCTCTTCCAGGCCATCGCCGGCGGCAGATCTGTCCCCAGCATCCTCCCCCAGGACTGGGATCTCTGCGTGCTGAAGGTACCTGGCCCTGCCTGGGGGTGCCCCAGGATCACTCCTGAGACTTTTCCTGCTGGCACAAGAAGAACCCCAGCCTTCCCCCCCGGGGCTCCCTGCAGCCTCTCCTCACCGGGCAGCCCGGGCCCCTCACACCAGCAGTGGGACTCGGCACTCCCCCCTTCCAGGGGGACTCTGCTGACCTTCCCTTGCCTTTTTCTTCCCTAATCAGAGACCTCCAGCCGTGAGGTTTGGGCTCAGACCCCTCAGCCCTCTCCCTTTTGCAGGACAACCTTGATCTGAGCAAAGTGGCCGTCATGGGCCATTCCTTCGGGGGGGTGACAGCGGTGCTGGCCTTGGTGAAGGAGCCCAGCTTCAGGTGAGGCATGGCAGGGGCTGCAGAGGCTCCAGGGACACATCCTGGGCTCATCCTGGCGGGAAGGGGAGCCGTGGTGGTGCCTGTCCTGCTCCAGGTGTGCCGTGGCTCTGGATGCCTGGATGTTCCCTCTGGAGAACCTGCTGTACCCGGAGGTGCCCAGTCCTGTGCTCTTCATCAACACCGAGAAGTTCCAGACTCCGGAGAGCGTGGCCAAAATGAAGAGGCTGAGCTCCGGGAACAGCCAGACGAGGATTGTGACCGTGCTGTGAGCCAGGGGTGGCACCCCCCCGCTGCAGGGAGCACCCGTGGGTGTCCCAGCAGGAAAAGCTCCGGGGGTCCTGCTGCAGGGAGCACCCGGGGGTGTCCCAGCAGGAAAAGCTCCGGGGGTCCTGCTACAGGGAGCACCCAGGGGTATCCCAGCAGGAAAACCTCCGGGGGTCCTGCTGCAGGGAGCACCCATGGGTGTCCCAGCAGGAAAACCTCCGGGGGTCCTGCTGCAGGGAGCACCCGGGGGTGTCCCAGCAGGAAAACCTCCGGGGGTCCTGCTGCACGTCCCCCTGATGCACATCCCTGCCCTGCCCAGGGGAACGGTGCACGAGGACCAGACCGACTTTGCCTTCCTCCCTGGGAAGCTCTTCAGCCTCATCTTCGGCAGGAGGGGCACCCTGGAGCCCCACAAGGCTCTGGCCATCACCAGCCAGGCAGCTCTGGCCTTCCTGCAGAGGCACCTCGGTATGGCCCAGGCTGGGGGAGCAGGGGGGCCTCGGGGGTCTCCCTGGTTTGGGGGGGCTCCCTGGTTTGGGGCTGGTGCTTCCTGAAGCACAGGGGTGCAGTGGCTGCCCCTCGGTGGCTCCTGGACAGGCTGTGGTGGCCCTGTCACCTGCAGGGGAGGATTTGGTAACCCTGTCACCTGCAGGGGGGGACCTGTCACCTGCAGGGGGGGATTTGGTAACCCTCTTCCTGCAGAGGCACCTCGGTATGGCCCAGGCTGGGGGAGCAGGGGGGGCTTGGGGGGCTCCCTGGTTTGGGGCTGGTGCTTCCTGAAGCACAGGGGTGCAGTGGCTGCCCCTTGGTGGCTCCTGGACAGGCTGTGGTGGCCCTGTCACCTGCAGGGGAGGATTTGGTAACCCTGTCACCTGGAGGGGTGGCCCTGTCACCTGGAGGGGAGGATTTGGTAACCCTGTCACCTGGAGGGGAGGCTGTGGTGGCCCTGTCACCTGCAGGGGAGGATTTGGTAACCCTGTCACCTGGAGGGGTGGCCCTGTCACCTGGAGGGGAGGATTTGGTAACCCTGTCACCTGGAGGGGAGGCTGTGGTGGCCCTGTCACCTGCAGGGGAGGATTTGGTAACCCTGTCACCTGGAGGGGTGGCCCTGTCACCTGGAGGGGAGGATGGGGTGGCCCTGTCACCTGCAGGCGAGGCTGTGCTAACCCTGCCACCCCCTGTGCCCCGTGCAGAGCTGCAGGAGCAGTTTGGACAGTGGGACGAGCTCCTGGAAGGCATTGGGGACTCGGTGGCTCCGGAGGCGCCGTTCGGCCGCTCGCACCTGTAGCTGCTCCGAGGGCACTGCTGGCACCTGGGGAGTGGCAGAGTGACCCTCTGGGACAGAGTGACTCCTGGGAAGGGCAGGAGGAGCCCTGAGGACAGCAGGACCTGGGGACAGCGCTCAGGGACTGTGCCAGCAGAGCCCTCCCTGCTCTGTGCCTGCACTGAGGGCTGTGGGCTGAGGGAATAAAATCCCCAGGGATAAAAACCGAGTTGGCTGTCACAGATTAATAAAGCCACAGCGGGGTGGGCTGGGAGAGCCTGTGAAGATCATCCCCAGCTTCGCTGTGGGTCGGGGGTGGTTCAGCCACGGCTGAAAGAGATGCAGCATCAGGGCTGCCAGCACGAGGGAAAGGAGAATCCCAAAATTGTCCTGCAGAGCCGTGCAGATGGCTGACTGCACGCCTCCACCCTGCAGCGGGAAGGAGGGAGGATGCATTTCAGCAGGAGGAATGGGAGGAGGAGCCTCGGAGCAGCCGGGATGGGGATGGGAATGGGGATGGGGATGGGATGGGGATGGTAATGGGATGGGAATGGGATGGGATGGGATGGGAACAGGATGGGATTCAGCAAGGGGGACATCCCCCAGCAAAGGGGACATCCATCAGTAAAGGGGACATCCCTCAGTAAAGGGGACATCCCTCAGCAGAGGGGACACACACACACATATATATATATATATATAAAAATTATATAAAATTTTAATATATAACACTATAATAACATAATAAAAATAAGATAATAGGGAAAGGAAAAGCTGTGTGAGCAATCAGGGACGAGCCATAAATTCATTCCCCTCTTCCCATGGGCAGGGATTCATTCCCAGGAATCCATTCCCATGAATTCATTCCCCCTTTCCATGGGCAGGGATTCATTCCCAGGAAGCAGGGATGAGCCATAAATTCATTCCCCCCTTCCCATGGACAGGGATCCATTCCCAGGAATTCATTCCCATTAATTCATTCCCCCTTTCCATGGGCAGGGATTCATTCCCAGGAATTCATTCCCCTCTTCCCATGGACAGGGATCCATTCCCAGGAATTCATTCCCCCTTTCCATGGGCAGGGATTCATTCCCAGGAATCCATTCCCAGGGGCTCAGCCACTCCTGAAGGTGAGCTGGGAAGACAAACCCATCACTCCCAGTGTTCTCCCCTTCATCCCTCTTCCTCCTGGTTTTTATCCTGAGCATGGTCTGGGACACCCCTGGGCTCAGTCGGAGTCACCTGTCCCAGCTGTGTCCCCTCCAAACTCCCCCTGCACCCCCAGCCGGGTCCCTGGGGGTGAGCCAGGAGCAGGGAAGGCCTTGGCTCTGTTCAAAGGCTGCTCAGACACAACAAAACATCTTTGTGTTACCAACCCTGCCTTCAGCACAAACCCAAACACGGCCCCAGCCCGGCCCCAGCACCGAAATTAACCCTGCCCCAGCCCAGACCCAGCACAAATTGCTCTGCTGGGGCTGGGAAATGGTGAGGAAGGGGCTGGAGATGGGGAGGAAGGGGCTGGAGATGGTGAGGAAAGGGCTGGGATTGCTCTGCTGGTCTGGGGTTGATGAGGAAGGGCTGGAGATGGTGAGGAAGGAGCTGGAGATGGTGAGGAAGGGCTGGAGATGGTGAGGAAGGAGCTGGAGATGGTGAGGAAGGGCTGGAGATGGTGAGGAAGGGGTGGAGATGGTGAGGAAGGGGCTGGGGATGGTGGGGAGGGGCTGGAGATGGTGAGGAAGGTCTGGAGATGATGAGGAAAGGCTGGAGATGGTGAGGAAGGGGCTGGAGATGGTGAGGAAGGGGCTGGAGATGGTGAGGAAGGGGCTGGAGATGGTGAGGAAGGAGCTGGAGATGGTGAGGAAGGGCTGGAGATGGTGAGGAAGGGGCTGGAGATGATGAGGAAGGGCTGGAGATGGTGAGGAAGGGGCTGGTGATGGTGAGGAAGGGCTGGAGATGATGAGGAAGGGCTGGAGATGGTGAGGAAGGGGCTGGGATTGCTCTGCTGTTCTGAGAAATTATGAGGAAGGGGCTGGGATCGTTCTGCTGGGGCTGGAGATGGTGAGGAAGGGATTGGTGATGATGAGGAAGGGCTGCAGATGGTGAGGAAAGGGCTGGGATTGCTCTGCTGGTCTGGGGATGATGAGGAAGGGCTGGAGATGGTGAGGAAGGGGCTGGGATTGCTCTGCTGGTCTGGGACCATTCCCAGGGACACCCTGATGCTCTGGGGTGTCCTGGGCTGCTGCAGGCTCCCCAAAGCACACCTGCAGGTTTTGTGGCACGGGGCAGGAGTCCAGGGTTACCCCAAGATGTGATCTGCCCCCACACCGGCTCAGCTGGGGTTTGAATGTGAGCTCTGGGGTGTTACACCCCCAAATCCAGGGGGGTTTTGTTTCTCAGGGATGGGGGGAGGAAACACCAGCCCCGTTTCTTTAGGGAGCCCCCGGCTGCAGCATGGCAGCCCCCAGGGGTCCCAGAGTGTCTGCCCTGCTCCCATGCTCAAACCCACGGCTTTAAAATTAAAAACAAAAAACCAAAAAAACCCAGCCCCACACAAAACAAACGCTGCTGCCCATTGATATTCCCCTCACAGCTGTGCCTGCAGCAGGGCTGGGCTGTGAATGGACACATTCCTTTTCTCCGAGCTCTCCCACCAAAGCTTCCCACCGGGCTCTGGAATCCCGCAGGGTCAGCACAGCTCCTGGCAGCCCAGAGCCTCCTTCTCCTCCTTCTCCTCCTTCTCCTCCTTCTCCTCCTTCTCCTCCTTCTCCTCCTTCTCCTCCTTCCAGGTCACAAACCCAAACTCCAGCCCTCGCTGCCGTCCACGGAAAACCTCATTTGCTCAATTGGAGCATCCCCGTTGATTTAATTAATGCAAATCCAGACTCGTGTTAGACCTCCTTGTAATTACTGTAAGGCTCTCGTGGTTTTTGTTGGGTTTTTGGTTTGGTTTTTTTTTTTTTTTCCCCCCTTTTTCTTGTGTTTTTAAGGGAAACAGTGAGATCTGGATTCCCGTGGAGGAGCTCTGGGGTTTGGTGCAGTGCTGCCCCAGCCCCAAGCCCAGGCAGCACCTCCTTGAGCAGAATCCCCCAAATCTCCTCGGCTGGCAGGGATTCACTCTCTCCCACGCTGGGTTTTTTCCACTGGAAAAATCCCAGCATCGTTCTGGGTGAGATCCCGGAGGAAAACCGAGTTCTGAGCTCTCTGAAGTGAATTTTGATCACCTCATCCCTGAGCTGAGGAGCCTGCGTGCTCCCAGTCACGAGGGGTTCAGCTCCACTTTTAAATCCTCCCACGGAGCCTCGGGGTCTGCAGCAGGCTCAGTGCTCCCCCCACTCCCTGCCCCCCAAAATGCACCCCCAGAGCCCGGCAGGGCTCCTGTGCCCTCAGCCAGCAGCCCCCAAGGGTTTTTTTTTGGGGCACAATTGGTTTTTTCAGCCGTTTTCCCTCAGCTCCGTTTTGGGATGGAGGCACTTTTGTTACCCCAGGGATGATTCCTGAGTAAACAGTGGGGGAAAAGGGCTGAGGGGGGAAACTGAGGCAGAGAAGGGGCTGTGTGAGGTGTCTGTGCTCAGAAAAGCCACAGAGACAGATTGAAATGATGCATTTTGGGTGGGATCCAGCTTTCCCCCGTGTTAGGGAGGACAGGCTGAGCTCAGCCTGTGGATGCTCCTGCCTTTCCTGCCTGATGGAAAGCGGAGCTGGCTGAGCAGGAGACCCCAAATCCTCCTTTTTAACCCCTTAACTCCTATTTTCACCCCAGAACGTGGTGCTGAGACTGCCACCAGCCCTCCCTGGGGGACACCAGAGCCCCCAGACCCATTCAGGCTGTCTCATCCCCTCCTGTCAAACACAACCCTGCGACAACATTCACCACACAAAGCCTTGGCTGGGGCTTGTTTTTGGGGGGTTATTTATCTTTAATTTAATTAAAACAAAGCCCCTGTGTTGCCCATCACACGAGGGTGCTTCTGAGGGTGTTGGTTTTGGCGTGGAGCAGCAGATTGCTGGTTTATTTTATAAAAGATGGATGTTTTTCCACCAGAAAGTCTGGCTTGGTCTGTTCTCTCAGCCACAGTGGATGTGTCAGGTTCTTTTGTCTTTTAATTTATGTATTGATCTATCTCAGGCTCGAAATGGTAGGGGGGAAAAAGGGGATCAGAAAGCACGGGGCAAATGTGAAGTGCAGGAATTGTTTCTGTGCTGGTACTGCTGAGATTCCAGGGGCAGGGAGCAGCAATTAACCCGTTTGGATGTGGAATTGTCAGTGCAGGCAGGAGGGGAGCTGCTCCTCGTCCTGAAACGTGGAAACAGGTCTGGATTGAAGTAAAAAAACACAAAAACCCCACCCCAGACTCGTTTCCTTGGCTCACAAATCCTGTGGGAAGAGGCCCCCAGTGTCTGATGGATCCCACCCATAAAAACCTACAGATATTCCACAGAAAAATCAGCTCTGGCTGCTGCTCTGGGTTCTCCTGCCTTCCCTGGGTGTGAAGAGGGGGCAGCACCTCAAAATTCTGCTTTTTGGCCAGAACTTCAGCCTCGTGCTGTGAGTCTGCAGCACCCAGGAGGATGGGAGCTGCAATTCCACCTGCTCCCCAGGCAGGAGAGCTCCTGGAAAATCAAACCCCCCTCCCACCTGGCTGTGCACTGACTGTGCCAGGGAAACTCCTCTGGTTTCGGGTGACCCAAGGGCTCTGCACTGAGAATTATTTTCACATTTGCCCCTTTGTGGGGGCTGAAACAAGCCCATTCATTTTGTTTATTTGATGCTGGGGGAGTCATACTCCTTTAAGAGGATTTCCATCCCTCAACTCCTCCCCTCGTGACACTTCCAAGCCACATTTTGTCTTGACAGGGTGGGAGTATTTTTAACCATATCACGCCAGGGAAGTATTAATAGCACAATGGGCTCGCCGAGCTGCTGGTGGAGCTGAATCCATATTTTAAATTCAAGCAACTAATTAGGAGCTGAGGAATAATTAGCGCTATACCCAGCTTTTCTTCAGCTGCCCCCCTTCCTTTTTCAGACCCACAGCAAATGTCTGTGCTGGAATGTTCTGTGGCTGTTGAATATTTCATAGCTCCTCTGTGCATTGCTATTCCATGTGCTTGTCAGGTCCCACCGTGTCCTCTGCAGCATCCCCGGGGCTGCTCTGGCACTCTGGGGATGGGACCAGGGCATGGAGAAAGCCCAGAGCTCTGTCCCTCTCCCTGTGCCTCTCCAGG